CGGCCGACATCATCTTGAGACAATGTCCGGTTGCCTTGCCAGGGCAGAGCATATAAATCTCCTCGTGTGGCTCTTGTGCGTCCACATTGAAGGTGATGATTGTGAATTGTGTGCCTTCTGCTGAATTTGGAGTTTTTGTTTTGTTGTATGTCACATTATAGTGACTGTGCGCCATTCCTAAGGTTTATTTATTTATTTTTGCATTGTTGGCTAGCTAGGACAAAGCCCGTTTATTGATAGTGATGACAATGATGTTGTACTGATGTTGACGTTTGTCATTTGTTGCAGCGTGTGTTCGACTTCAGATTAACCATGTTGTTGTGGCTGGTAGTTATTTCTACCGAGTTTTTTTATTAACTAGGCAACTCCCTTCTTATAATACAACGGAGCAGCAGAAAATTCGCCCCGGTTGATAATTTTCGTCGAAGAAAACAGTTTTTCTTATGAATATAGATTTTTTTGACCGGAATGAATAATAATTTTTTAAGGGTGTGCATAATACTCCCTCCGTCCGGAAATACTTGTCGGAGGAAGTATTTCCGGACGGAGGGAGTAGATATTTTCGCGTGCTAGTTATACTCCCTCCGTTCCTAAATGTAAGTCTTTGGAGAGAATTCACTATGGATCACATACGGAGCAGAATGAGTGAATCTACACTCTAAAATGCATCTATATACATCCGTATGTGGTCCATAGTGAAAACTCTACAAAGACTTATACTCCCTCCGTTCCTAAATATAAATCTTTATAGGGATTCCACTATGAATTACATATGGATGTATATAGATGCATTTTAAGTGCGAAGTCATTCATTTTGCTCCGTATGTAGCCCATCTAGTGAAATCTCTACAAAGACTTACATTTAGGAACGGAGGGAGTATTTGGGTTGTGATGGACGCTGGTTGCTCTTGGCAGGGATTAAGGGTGTGGATGGAAATGCGCCGTTGGATGTCATTTGGATGGCAGGGATTAATACACTTCAACTCTGCCAACTTCATTTAGACAATCCTCTGTCCACCGGAGACACACACGCCGCTCGAATTCCCCACCCCCACCGTCGCCGCCGCCGCCGCCGCCGCCGCCCCGCCGTCGCGGCGCCATGCTCCACCTCCGGCAGCGCGTCCTCTCTCATCTCCTCTCCGCGGCACCAACTCCCTCTACCTCTCCACTCCTCCGGCACCGCCTCCTCTCCGCCGCCGCGCCCGCCATTTCCCCGAATCCTAGCTTCGCCGTCGAGGAGTACCTCGTCGCCACCTGCGGCCTCACCCGTGCGCAGGCACTCAAGGCCTCCTCCAAGCTCTCCCACCTCAAGTCCTCCGCCAACCCCGACGCCGTGCTCGCCTTCCTCGCCGGCCTCGGCCTCTCCGGCGCTGATGTCGCGGCCGTCGTCGCCAAGGACCCGCAGTTCCTCTGCGCCGGCGTGGAGAGAACCCTGTCCCCCATCGTCGACGGGCTCACCGGCCTCAGACTGTCGCGTTCTGAAATCGCGCGACTCGTCTCGCTCGCCCCGGTCAAATTCAGCCGTAGATCCGTCGTCTCCAAGGTAGAGTATTACCTGCCGCTCTCTGGCTCCATCGACAACTTGCTCCGGCCCCTCAAACACGGCTCCGGCTTCCTCGGCTCCCACCTCGAGAGGGTGGTCAAGCCCAATGTGAAGCTCCTAGCAGAGTGCGGGCTAGGTGCTTGTGATATTGCCAAGCTCTTCATCCGTGAGCCAAGGATGATTAGCGCCAAACCAGGGCGTGTCCTGGCGATGGTTGCGTGCGCTGAACGTTTAGGTGTGCCCCGTGGCTCTGGAATGTTCAGGCAAGCGCTGCACACCATCTCATGCTTCAGCGAGGACAAGATCGCTGCCAAACTGGACTACTTGAAGAAGACACTTAGGTGGTCAGATGGCGAGGTCCGCATTGCTGTGTCCAAGTGTCCGGTTTTGCTGAGTAGGTCAAATGATGTGCTGCAGCGCCTGTCAGAGTTCCTTATCTCTGAGGCGGGGTTGGAGCCGGCCTACATTGCACATCGCCCTGCTATGCTCACTTACAGCCTGGAGGGACGGCTTAGGCCCCGCTACTATGTTGTGAAATTTCTTAAGGAGAGTGGATTGCTAAATCATGACAGAGACTACTATAGTATGGTGGTGGTCAGCGAGAAGGAATTTGTGGAGAAGTTCATATGCCCTCACAAGCAAGCTGCACCACACCTTGCTGAAGACTATGCAGCTGCTTGCACAGGGCAGGTGCCTGCTACATTCAGATTTACATGAACCAAGAAGCAGGAAAAAGGATTGCTAGAGCGCGAGTGGAACTACTATTCAGCAGTCTTGGTGACAAAGAAGATTTTCATGGAAAAGTTCGTATGCCCTCATGAGGAAGCTGCCCCCACCTTGCCGAAGACTATGCTGCCACTTGTAGGGAAGTGCCTTCTAATTTCAGAATTACATGACCAAGAACGGGCCATGAGAATTTGTAATTGCGTATGGCGCAAAAAAGTTTACACTGTGTAGTGAGCTGGTAATCTCTGTCTGTGTGCCTGAGTGGATGTTGGTTGTCTGCTATAATATGTCAGGTACATGCTAATTTAGCGTCTCTAGTCCTGAATGAAACTGATAATTTTACTGTGAGTCCTTGTATGTCCATTACATCATTCAGTTGAGAAGAAAGAATTACAGTACAATTAACCTGTCCATTGTGATGTCATATTGGCATGCATACTAGAACTAAGAGAGTGTGACATCAGGGCATTCTGCAAATGCTTTCAAATATATTAATGAAGAGTATATCTGCACGCCCTATATGTTTATGTTCTCAATTGTCATTGCAGCTTAATCCTGGGTCAATCTATCTTTCCATGAAAAAAGGTTCTCATTTTTCCCATGAAGATGATATGAAGTCCCAAAATTGGCTGAATGTCTTTTTTTATGGGAACAAATCTGGAATTTATGTGTTAGTCACTGCTGAGGTTGCGGTTTTGATCTAGTCGGTTGGTTGCTTCCTCTAGTTTTTCTGAGTTGAAACTCTTCATCCTTCCTGCAGTAGCTTTGTTTACAAGATATTAACTGTTGTGAAAGCAGGTCATTGTTTACTACTAGTAGTTTGTATCCGTTTTTCCGTTTGTTTTTCTCTTATATTCTTGGATGGCCTACTGGCTGATACTTTTTATAGGAGTATCTGATGTCAAAACTGAATACTTCAGTAGTTGGCCAGTAGCATTTTGTTGACAGCTTACCCATTTAACACTATGTAACGGATATTTCGAAGGCCCTTGTATTTGTACCAGAGACACAAATTGATGCCTGTATGGTATGGTGCCAAAAAACAGAGGGCATTTCATACACTATGAAGGAACTTATGTTAAGGTAATCTTCAAAAGGGTCTTGGCATTACCATGTTAATCTCTGCCATACCTGTTAATTAATTTATTCCATATTAGCACTATTTATATAGATGCGGTCACCTTTATCCATTGACATAATTTTTAAGAGATAGTAAGGTGGATCTTATGTACCATCCTCTGTTTTATGTTTTGCATTTTTAGATGCACTTTTATATTTGCTTTAGTTGTGTTGGTTAGAATCTCTTCTGAAGACATGTAGGCTGGAATTGGAGAAAGGAGAATGAAGATGTCGAAGACTATTACCTTAGCCAAAAGAGATGGTCCTAGACAGAGATGATATCCTAACCAAGCTTGGTACAGAGTATTAACATTTGAGGAAATGCAGTATTTTTCTCAGATATACTGAATGTCATATCTTCTGTTTTCAGTTAAATCTCAGTTTAGGGCTAGGCACGCATGTACCATCTGTCAGATATAGCGTAGTTATAGAATCTTGCAGAATTTTGAACACGGAAATTTCCTCAACTAAGATTCAAGTCTTTGTGAGGAGAGGATGGTGCACATTTGTATGTTCTTGATGTTAGGCTGTGGAAATCGGAAGAAATGAGATCTTAGCTGTGTGCTTGCTATTATTGGCAAAGAGCTCTGATTTGAAGTGAAGATCAGTTGTGTGTCTCTTCTCTAGTGCTTAGGTTAGCCTGTGGGAATTATAGAAATAAGATTATTGCAATGAAGGTTAGCCTGTGGGTCGATTGATGGAAGAGGTGACTTGCCAGGTGATTATGAATTGAAAAATGGTACTTTCATCAAGTAAGAATTGGCTGGGCAATAAAGAGGAGCATACTGACTAATTTACTGAATGTTGTAGATTGATGGTGCTTTCTTTCTTCCAGGAGAAGATGTGATGAAACTGGATATAGATGCATAGTTTGTTCTTCTTTATGAATGATGAAACTGGAGATCGACCAGGACATGTTTTTCTTTTGCACTGCTCTAGGGTAGGAACTTGTGCTCTGAACTTTTCTTTTGTACATTGGGAAACTTCTGGTGTTATAAAATGGTCTTTATTTTGACTCTACCTCTATGAGCACTGCTGCGGAGTGGGTTATTGAAATATGTGGGCAACGAAGCTGCTGCTCAGTGTGCAATTTCTTAGTATTATTTTAATAAAAAAGCTGCAAATGCTCGAGGAGCTATGTTAACCCTTGATTTTTATTAAGTCAACATTCCATAAAAAAAGTTTTGAGTTGATAATCAGATGTAGAAACAAATTTCTCTGTTTTCCGTTAAGACTTATGCCATGTAAGCAGTTAAGATTTATGCCATGTAAGCAGTTAGATGTGGAGTTCAAAGCCGCTAGCTAATTGATGGTAGTTTACTCAGACTAATATTTAGTTCGCCTTCCTCTGTTGGTCTTACTAGAGCTTTTCCTTAATGGAAACAGACTTAAAAGAGCTTTTTATGTGTAGGAACCAAGTTCAGCAAGCTAACTAAGTATAAGTATGCATTTTATTCACCCTCCGATGTGCATGGTTACTTAATCTATCGGCATATTTAACAATTTTTGGGCACATTATGTTTTGCTTCCATGCTTTGTAGGCTCCTGTGCGGCATTAACCTGCACTTCTTTTTCGATTTCCTCATAACAAGTAAACACCTTTTTGACTAGGTGTTGTTTTTCTTGCTTATGTTGAGCTCTACTACGTATGTGTACACCCTTTTTTGTGTGATTTTCAGTTTGGGGGTGCATACCTTTCCGGAACCCTGAGCAGTTTCTGCAGCAGGAGATAAATTCTTTGCCGCCTGATTCTACTTGGAGAGGCTTTTGTTTCCCTGTTTTTTCTCAGATAAATGAGAAGCAGGAACAAGTTAAATATGCACTTTTTGGTAGGACTACTGATGAGAGAATGATGCAGCAATATGAGAGAGCAATGGTACTGATTCTGAGGATGGTCTGAGATCTGGCAATATATGATAGTAAAGGATGAAGGCACCACTGCAGTTGGGCTGGATTGCACCGCCGCAGACGCAACGTTGCTGGATCTGGTTTCAAGTTTCAGCCATGGCGGCGCGAGCATACTCGACGCACTCTGAAGATGGCGGGGGAAGATCAGCGTCGTACAATCAAGCGTCGCTATCTGGGGTCAGTTGTCAGCGGTTTGGGAGGTGAGGAAGATGAGATGAACCTGTAATGGCAGGGCCTTTTTTCGAACCCTATCTTCCTGCTGGCTGTTGTCTGGTGGGTTTCATTTCTGTTGGAGGAACATTGTATGGTTGTTGGTATCTGTACAAAAAGAGAAACGAATTTGTATGCAATACTCAAGTTTGTATTTGATTTTTGGAGGTTTTTTTTAACACAATACAATCGCAGGTGCTCGCGCACACTCGTCCCTATGAACGCACATACATGCCCTATATATATATCCCTATGAGCACCTCTGAGATATTGAGCCGGCACAACTTCTTGAGATTGACAAAGTCGCCACAAGCGCCTCGTAGTTGACGGAACTATCTTCTCCCACTGAACGAACATCGCTGGAACGCCTCAAATAAATTCAGTAAGTAAAGATGTGAACCCCGGTTGGCCGGTTCCACCAAGTGGAATCTAACCATCTGAGCTATGTCCAGTTTGCTTGATTTTTGAAGTTGAGTGTATATCATGTTTGTATATTAATTTGATGACCGATTTACTTGATTTTTGAAGTTGAGTGTATATCATGTTTGTATTTTAATTTGATGACGGATGGCACATATGGGGCTTTGTAGGAGGAAACCTTCCGGCTGACAGGATTTAATGTGCAAACCAATATTTCCTTTTTGTACTGTATCACTATACCCGTTTTCCTTTTTCCAAATCTATGTAGTGCAACAATTACATAAAATTTGAAGCAAAAAGATTAATGAAAAATGAAAAAATGGAAAATTATTCGTTCACTACCGGACTCGCGGCCTATGCCGACGGCCCAGGGCCGACGGCATTTCCCGTCGACATAGATCTATGTCTACGGCTGCCGTCGACATAGCCCCGTCGGCATAGATCACGTCAGCGTAGTCTTGTCAGACCGTCGGCATAGGGCTCTATGCCGACGGCTACCGCCCGGCCGTCGGCATAGTTTAGCCGTCGGCAGTGTTTTTGCCTGACGGCAACGGACAGCGCCATCAAAAGCGTCGACGAATCAGTGGAAGCCACGTGGTATAGGTGGAGATCTATGCCGACGGCTAGGCCGTCGGCATAACTATGCCACGTGGCTTCTCGTGGTGCCTCCTGGCGGCAAGGCTAGGCATAGATGAAATATATGCCGACGGCTTTGCCGTAGGCATAGCACTGCCATGTGGCGTCCACTGGTAGGCCCTGGGAAGCCCTGACGCAATCTATGCCGATGGCATTGCCGTAGGCATAGATTTTTTTAATTATTTCCCCTGTTTTCTCTTTTCCAATTCATTTTGACAGCGTTTCAAAGCCGAAAATATGGGATTATGCAGAAATATTACAGTTCATCATCTAAACATACTCAAGTTCATCATCATCATTTAAACATACTCAAGTTCATCATCTAAAGATCATCACCGGCTGAAGTTCATGAACATAAGTAGTGCAGGACATGAAACATCATTTCAAAGTAAGAACATGAAAGGTATGGCACGACATCAAGCAAGACCACCGTCGGCAAAACCACCACCTCCGCCAAAACCACCACCGCCAAGACCACCTCTGCCAAAACCAGCACAGCCAAGACCACCATCGCCAAGACCAGGATCACTCTGCCAGATCGGAGTGACTGGGGTCGACGTAGCAGGAGTCGAGCCACCGGTCGCCTACATGTTTGAGAGAAGATTCTAACGGTAAATATGATATGATAGTGTTGAATGAACGAGAACTAGTTTGTCAGTAGTTAGGCAAGTGTACTAACCGGACTATCACCGCCTAGT